TTACTAGTAACAAAGGGCATCGCTACTGGGAGCAAGGACGCTACTAGGGGCACTCCTGGCCCTACTACTAGGAACAGGAGGACGTTACTAGTAACAGTAACAAAGGGCATGGATGCTAGGAGCTCCTGTGTGGCCAAGATTCCGCGGCTGCGGGTACCCATGGAGCGCTGTGAGGTGGGCACATCCCCATTGACACCTTGGATGTGCAGGTGGGCAACTGGCTGTTGCCAACATGTTGACGGTTCGACCGCAGGATGGGACCCAAAACGGCGAACTGCTGAGCAAAAGGCAAACCATGCGAAATGATCTATCAAATCCATGGATTCGCAAACGTCTACACGAAGTTGAACCATCAGCCTGTTCATCCATCAGCAAAATCACAAACAATGACTTTGCCATCAGTTCTCAAGGACTCCAGCGCTGCTGCCCCATCAATCTGACAGAGCTGCAAAAAATGTGCCATGACGTTCTCACCTTGCAGTCCCACCCCTGAGAGCAGCACATGCAAACCACAACCACTGCGCAAAGGCGTCTAAGTACGACATAGCGTAGGGGTGGCTGCGGCCTTACCCAGCGCATGGCACAGTTCAACTCAGGTGCCAAAGACAAAGGATCGGCTATCTATACTCTAAAGAGTTGTACCAGTGTGGTTTGCATCCAATAAATCGCATGCATAGTTGTGCATATTCTGTCTGTGTGTTCTGCTTCTTCTAAGTGTATGTTTCCAAATTCTTCAAGTGCTAGCCGCTTCCCCGCAGAAAAGCGCAACAATAAGCACATGAACCCAGCATATCGTGGCAAATTGAATGGACTGGACCTCTGAGCATAAAAGGCTTCAGAGATATGCGACCATCTCACTCCAGAACGGCCAATGATTAGCCTGAAGCCAAAGTTTCCCTTGATCCTGTTGGGTGCACGTTGATGTCCATTTTTGGAGCTTGTGAAAGCAACGACTCCATCATGTTTGTGTGTGTGGCTTCACCATCACACAATCAAGAGCCTGTTGCTCTGCACACTTCCACTTTTCGACGCAGACTTAGCCTACTGTATAATCAGCTGGGTTCTAAAGGTTACTGTAACATACTGTAATTGTAAAGCTCTGCAATCTCGTTCATCCAAGATCATATCCCAGCTCCCGGATGTGAGCTTCGCTTGGCACTGGACAAAAAGGCGACACGAAGCGCCTGATGAGTTTGCTCAGCTTTGCATGGGTGGTCTGAAATGAGCTGAACTACATATGCTGCATAAGTCCAAAACCATCCAAAATCCTTCTACATAGGTCTGCTATCTTTTCTTCTTGAGCACGTAGTGTGGACGGATGCACAAGCAATGCGATGCACAGGAAGACTTCGAGCCTTCGAGCCTTGAGCTGCTCTGACTGGATTTCCTTCAATTCCAGGAATGGCCTCCATCCTAAGAGCGATGGCCTCCAACCTAGTAGCGATGGCCTCCAACCTAATAGGAATGACTGGACCTTCAATTCCTTACTGCGCTCCCTCGGTCTTTGAAGGAACAACTCCACCTTCTCAGCTAGGTGCTCTGCTGGTTTTCTTGCAATATCATTGTCTGTGGGACTCTATGTTATATATTCTTCGGATTTCTTATATATGTCTTTTGCAGGCCAGGGAGTAGCGGATGGGGTGGGCAGGTTCTTCAATGCAACTCCTCCTCCGAACCCTTTGCGTGGAAACCTTCCTAACATTTGTTGCACAACCTCCATCTTTGAGGTGAACGCACATTTGTCTGACATGGAGGCTGCGTCATCTGCCAAGCTGCTAAAGTTGCAAAAGTAAGTGGTTCTCATGCACTGTCGAAACCTAGGCAGTGACATCAACTCTGACATGCCCTTCACATGTGCTAGGGCCGATCCAAACATGAAAGAGCCAGTGCCGTTTATGCGAAATAAGCATTGAATTCCGTTGATTGTTTCGTCTATTGAAGACAAATGGTCGCTCGCGCTGTACCATAGGTGTGCCTACCACTAAGCTATGACATAGCCTGCAGCCGCAAAACCCGTGTCGGCACTGATACTGCTCGAAATGACATCTGCTTAGCAACCATGGTTGCACATGCGAGTCAAGGAATCAAGGAGCGCACGATTTTCGAGTCCATAGCTAGACAAACGATCGGCCAAACTTCTGTACAGTTGAGGTGTCACGACACCAACAAACATTCAAAGGCAACCCACGCATCTTGCACACACAGGTCGGTCACTGAACATCACTGAACCCTCCGGGGTTGGTCTAACTCCTCGGATGCACTTGCAGTCGAAAAAGTATCAACATAGACATATTAACATCTTCTTTGAGAGACGCCATCAATTTAGTCGGTTATCATAATCACAAGTACCAAAAAATGCCTGAAGAAAATCCAGAGGTCTTTCATGTGAATCTCTACCTTCGAAGCCTTCCGCAGCACCTTCGTGACCTCGAACTGAGTGCCCGGCGCCAGAATGTATTCCTCCTCACTTTTGTACTGGGAGAAATCCCTGATGCCAACACTGCGCAGCGAAGTGATAATGAACAAGGTGCTAGTTTTCGATCCACTGAAGCTGGTAGCAACGCCCAGATCCGGTGTACAGCTGGAGACCGCCCACCATGTAACTTTGCTTCCTACTGGGTATTGGCTCGCTAGGTCCAAGGCTACCCCACGATAAAGCTCTTTCTTGGAAGTTGGCAGCTTCTCCAAAGCAGTGACGAAGAGCCTCAAATACATGAAATAATCTTTGGCCTTCATACGATTGGGATCTCGCAAAGCTGCATTCAGTGCCTTGTATAGATGATTTGTAGTATAAAGGTGCAAAGCCCCAGCTTCATCGATGGACAAGCTCTGTCTGTCAATTTTGGAAACTGACTTCTGTGAAGCTTTGCCTGCTGCTGTCAAGCCCAAAGGCTTGCAGGATTCTGGCAGAGCTACTAGGGGAGCTGACATCACCCCAGCTATGCTGTCCAAGTCATCTGCCCGCGTGTCCAGACCATCTTTCAACCGCTCCAGGTACATCTTATGCAGTTCTTGGGTTTCTGCGACAAAGGCTCCCATCTCCTCTGCTTCCGATTCCATGCCCAACTTTTCTTTCCAAGACGAATCTGGAAGCCATTCGATAGGCTCTCCCATCTTCAACTCTTTGATCGCCTTGTTGATTTGGTCAAAAATGTTGGGCGAATCACAGAAAGCATCAGCCATGGCCGCGGGGTTCCTTGCATCTGGACTGGCAGAACAGCATTTGACTATGGAACAATAACCTCGAACTGGAAGTCACATACCCATTCTACGTGTGCAGTTGTGCATAATGATGTTTGGGAGTAACTGTCGTTCAAAAAGAAACTGCTGCATGATGCAAATCCCAGTGTCTTGTGCTCGATGTGCCGGATCTTCACAAACATAAACTTCGAAAAGCAGGTTTTGTCCAGGAACTTCTTCGTCTTTAAGCTCTCAGAACCCCACCATGCCTCACTTGCAGAAACAAAAGGTGCTGGCACAAAGATTATAGAAGTGACCAGGGCACCTTATGTTATCCTCTTTTTGGGGGTTGTCCAGCTCCAGCTCCGCATGTCGTAATTCCATCGGTTGATGATGCACCACTGGATTTACGGTATTACCCTGAAGCACCAACAATCACAAACCCAAAGCGCACACTGTACTCTTGCCAAGTCGAAATGCAAAAATGATGGGACGCTTGTTCTTCTGACAATCTTCCAGAATTGCTTGCACAATGGCCTGAATGACTGGCTGCCAAAAGAGCAAGTGTTCCTGGACAACCTCCCCAGCACGCTGCCCTTCAGATGGTCGGATGGTACAGGCTGCGTTCATCAACAGCACACCTTGGGTCAAAATGGCCTGAAACCATTCAGCAGGACCAACGATGCCGTTGCTTTTCAAAAGCTTTCGCACTTCCGGCATTTTCGTCTCCTTTTTGATTTTGAACTTGCTCATCAAAGCAGCTTTCATAATGCAGCGCATCGTGGTCACCGTTCCAAAAGCGCCGGTGTCCCATGATTTCAAGGCGTTGTCGAAATGAGCGATGCCAGTGGCTGACTCAATTCTCGGGTAGGGGGACTGACCAAAGGAGACTACTCGCCATCCTGAGGGTGGATTTGGTTTTAGGGCTTGGAAGGTCAGCTCTCGCACTGGGACAATCCGCTTGTCCCGTGAAGGTCCAATGAAAGACGCAGCATCTGACAAGCCTTCAATCACAGGCTTCAGGACCGCTTGCCAGGTAGAGCCATGCCCCATGCCTGCAAACAACGGTGCCAGGAGCAAGGGATCTGAAGCACCACTGGAGCTGGCAGAGACACTGTCGACCTTGAGCTTTTTGGTTTCTGGCTTCTCTGCGTCCTCCTCTTTCTCTGGCGCTGGTCTTTTTGCAGCCGAACTCTTTGCGGCAGCCTTGGCCTTTGCCCTGCCTTTAGCTTTAGCTTCAGCTTTGCCCTTGGCTGCTGCTTTGGCCTCCGCTTTGGCTTTAGCCTCCGCTTTGGCTTTGGCCCTTCCTTTTGCGGGTTTCATTTCTGCCGACCCAGACTCATCCGCAATGGCCTTGCCACGAGCTTCAATGTTGCCATCCACAATCCGTCCCCACGTTGCTGGTGAAGCTCCTGACAGAAACCAAGTGATTTTTGTTCCTGCCTTGGCTTTCTTCGCCCAAGCTGAATCCTTAGACTTGTTCTGCTCCATCGCTTGGAAGTTGGGGAACTTTATGGCCATGCAACCGTTTTTGCTCTTTGCGACTGCCAGCTTCTCACCATTCTCCAATGTCACTTCCGTTCTTGCTCCGTGGATAGCTTTGTGAGCGGCAAGCGCATCAACTTCAGAAATCGTCATTGGCCTAGAGTGATGCTACACCACTCCTCTCTGCAGCAAGTGCACCTCAAAATGCGATGCATAATTACCTTGCCCTAGCATATGCTTATATAAGGCTTGTGATGGATTTTTTGCGTGCAATGCCTGTCCGCGGTTGTCGACAAAATGTTGCTGCATCTGCACACTTCAAACATATAATTGGAGCTGGCGACACGAATCTAGCAAGAAGCAACTCTGAATGGGCCTAAACGTATGTGTTGCCGTGCTGTCCTTGACTGAATTTTCGGAAAGGGCCTCCTCCGCACTCCAGTCAGTCATTGAGATCGTTCCTGCCGGTTCACACCAAAAAGAAGGGATACTGGGATACTGTGAATTTACATGCAAGTGCTGTGGAACAATGTTGGGGCGCAAAGGAAAAGTTTCAGAGCATCGCACCCCCACCAGAGATGCCAATTTGAAGACGCTTGAGGCACTAGATGTTCACCGTGTTCAAATAGAATATCCATTGCTGGATTTGGCGCGCCGCGTTTGTTGGCGTGCCGCTCTTTAAGTGAGTGGCCAAGTTGAAAGAAAGGATTGTGCTCCCAAGGCAGCTTGCCTTCTTGAACATGTTCAAAGGATGAGTGCGACTGAACCTTCTAGAGGACTTTGCTGTTGGGCTGCCCTTTTGAAAGACCCCCTGCCGGCACTGTCCGGCCCACGGCCTGACCAGATGTTACTAGCGCACCATGAATCACCCAGAAGCCACCAGAGTCACTGCCTGCGCGGGATTTTGGAGGATCCCCCAAATCAGAATGGTTAAACAGTTAAACTTGTGGTTTGTCCAGGGGTGATGTTGTTGTCGGGGAAGTGGGAGTGAATAAACAATGGCTTGCAAGTGTTTCCCACAAGCCAAGGCCAACTGCAAGAATCTCCACATAGCTCACCTGATCTCGACAGAAACCAGGATCATATAGTAGCAGGTGCATCGCTACCAGTAACAAGGTGCATCGCTACTAGTAGCAGCAAGAACGCTACTAGTAGCTCTTGGCATTACTACTAGTAGCAAGAAGCTACTAGTACTTAGGAAAAACCCACTCCAACTTCAGTCTCGAGGGATAGGTTGACCGGAAGATACCACCAAACCACTGAGCATAGCCAGCTGCCGTTGGCTTCAGAAGGCCTGAGAGCCATCAAGCAAACTCACACTCACGAAACGAATTGAAATTCACTACTGTAGACTCTTGATTATTTTTCAACTGCCCATATGGATCCATATGGACAGGTTTTACAATCCATGTCTGGTGGGGTTACAGCAGCTTGATGAATCAAGAGCATACAGCCTACATGATGTACCGTGCAACTGGGATTACCAACCCCAGCAGGGGGCAACCTCAGCGCAGCACGCAAACCCCACCACAGCCACACTAAATGCCATCAAACATGGCACAGCAGAGTTTGCCTGACACCCGCATGGCATGGCTCACAGTGAGGTCAAGCAGGCCGGGCTTTTGTTGTATGTTGCATACTGTATTATATAATGATTTTGGTTGGAGTGGACCAAACCTCTACATAGTCCCCGTTTTTTCACTTTCCTCATGTACTTGTACTGCATCCTGTTCTAGATCTTCGTTTGTCTTGCATGCCTGCGGCCATATCGAGCCCCCCTCAATCAAGTGGAAGCAACCAACATCACGTCGCTGTGATGATGTTCGCGGACTTTTGCGCCAGAAAGGGCCAGCCAGGTCAGCCAACGCTTTCTTGATTCCTTGATTATTGATCTATACATCTGGAATCTGGAATCCAGGGAGTGCTCGAGGTGCTCCAGTGCAGAAATCAAGGAATAAACAACGTTCCTCTGATGGCACACCAGGATCAATATACATACGAGTCATGCGAGTATACGTATATATATATATATATGATACACCATGATGTACAGCACTTCTCATGTCTTAGACGGGGGCGTCATACTGGATCCAAACAGTGGGCCGCCTCTGAGGGGAAGTTCATTCGACACTTAGACTCCTCTCGGCACTCCCGGCTCAGAGAGGGGGAGGGAGAGGGAGAGGGAGAGAGAGGGAGAGAGTTAGAGTTGCGTGGACAAGTCTGGCCACACTAGCCCCTCTGCAATTCAGTGTTTAGAAGGTCTGCTCACCATGACCGTGCAAATTGTGCTGGTGTTCCCGGGCAGCTTCATATGCCTGGCTCCTTGGTGCCGAGTGGCTGCGCTTCCAAATGGTGCTTTAGGTTGCGTGTGCCACTGGTCAGGACCCATAAACCCAGATCGGTCCATGTTGGAAAACAACGCATCATAGTCCGAAACATGGTCGTGGAACGTCGCATTGCAAATTTGGAGTCCATCAAAGGAAAGGATTCTAAAGGCCATCAGTCTGTAGGCATCGCACTACTAAGCATACAAGTGCTGTGTAGGGTGTGTAGATTGTAGATAGTGCGTGGTTGTACGAGTTCGATACCTGATACATCCAAGCTCGGAATTGATCGCATCTTGTGCTGGTAGATTCTTAAGCCAAAACACCCACGTCCGTTTGCTTCGTCGCAGCTACTCAGCTTCCCACACGTTGTGAGGGGCGAAGTGTCCACTCGATTGACCTCAGGCTCAGGCTGTGGATCAATGAAATACATACGCAGCACTTGTCCATGGTGTTCTATCAAATCCTTGCTGCCTGAACCAGTCCCAAGGCAGAAACACTTGGCCGGGATTGCGATATGTGCGAGACCCAGGACCTTTAGACGGAAAATGACGCATACATGGCACAGAGTTGCAGCATTTTTCTGAGGCATCTGGCTGGGAAACATCTTCTGCCAGCTTCTCTGCAAGAAGCTTCGTGAATCTTCACTGCCTGGGGTGAAACGAACCCCAGGCTCAAACCCAAAACAATTCCAAAACTATGTCCAACTCCAACTCCAACTCTAACTCTGACTCTGACTCTAACTCTAACTCTAACTCTCTCTCTCTCTCTCTATCTCTCTCCGTCTCTGCGCGGCCGACTGCAACCGCTACACACCACTACACCTATTTCACAGCTTTGGGCACCTTCATTGTCAAAGGCAACTGTCATAGCCCCATGGCCCCAAATCACCTTCTCCTGGCCAAAGGCACTAGTGCTGTGGAGACTGCATTATAAACAAAGCGAACTTTCAATTTTTGCCCCAGAAGGCCTTACGACACGATGTTGCAGGTGACGGGCCACAAAGGTCTGACAAAAAGTTCACTCTTTGTAAAGGTTCACCCTCTGCGTCTTGATGAGTCTTGCAATTCAACGCCAGCTGCAAGCAGTAAGAGGCAACACTTTTAACTGAGCCCTCAAGGAATTTTGTCATGCAATGAAATGCATAGAATGATTTGCAATTTATCATGTGCTGGCGATGCCCCTCGAGGAAGCATTTACCCAGGATTGACACGTGACGTTGCAATTTCAGCACACTGAATCTATATATATATATATATAGGCCAGCCTGGTCTAGCATCAGTCATTCACCAAAAGCGGGTTCGTTGCCATTGTTGTTCGAAGCAGGGCCAAAAATGGTCCTGTTTCGGGGCATAGACAATGCGTTCGAAGCGGGCGAAGATGACCACGACGACCCAAAGGAGGACCAAATCAATGGCCTGCCAGGGGGTTCATACACGATTGCGCAGGCTCTAGGCCCATGATCGCCGGCTAAATATACATATAAACTCTCCCGATCGCCGTCTGCAATTCCCCTGGTCAAGTCGTTCTTTTCATATCACTGGCATTTTGCGATGTTAGTCGTGGAGGGCCCCACTCCCGCGTCTACGCATGTGTGTGTGCGTGTGAAATAATAGGCCACCTGCCGGTCTTCAAATGCAGGGGTCAAGGCGCGATACCACCAATTCTGACCAACGAAGCTGGGTGATGTTGGGGGATGTGGGACCTGGCCAGTCCCATGTACCTGCATTGGTTGTGTTGTAAGCGTAAATACCGTCCATGTGTATATAAAGTGTAAAGGTGAAACGCTGTTTAGGTTTCCGGGTCTGCAGTCATGCTTGCACACCCGTGCGCAGTTTCCAGTTTCCAATTTTCCGGTCAGTGTCCAATTTTCCAGTTTGTTAACCTGGGTGCCTCCAACCTTGAAGCAATGGCCTCCAACCTAAGATAGTCAAACCCCCCCTACATGATTTACTCCTAGGTTGCCGTGTGGCGTGAGGCATTCAGTTCCATACACCCTATCCCGAGGGTGTGTGTGTGTGTGCACTTCTTGGAATCACAGGGATCCTGTAGGATTGCTCTTGTTTTTTGAGTTTTCTCAGCAAGGGTTCAGCAGGGGCAGGGGGACTGCCTGACCTGTAACAGTGGCAGTCCAACGAAGAGGCTGTTACGAGTCACTGATATGGGCTCTGGACGCAGAATCCACGTACCTGCTTGCCTATGGCGTTTGCAAGCTGTTACCCTGATGTTAAATTAGGCTAGTGCACTCTGCAGACAAGAGCGGCCGCCGTCAACTCGACCTGTTCGTCGCATCGTGGAGTTGGAACTTTGGCCTTTGACTAAAGGCGCTCAGGCCTCCTTACCTGGTTGTTCAGGAATCTGGTTTCTTAGGTTGCCGTGTGGCGAGCGGCATTCGAGTCAGTACGCAAAATCTTAAGTGTGTCTGGCTTCATGCCAGCCCAGGGTGAGCCCGCAGAGTGCCCTCTGTGGTCGAACGGAGTTAGTCGTTGTTCCCCATGCCCGGGAACGTAGGTGTCCGAAGCGGACCGCAGGAGGCTTATGCCAAAGATATTTGCCAAGACTTGTCGGATTATTGAATTCCAAGCTGGCTCATGCCTTTACGTGACAGCAGCGGTCTAAGCTGGCTTAACGCCTCAACATGGTCAGAGCGACCAAAGCCATTCTTTTACAGGTTCGTTGGAACCTGTCGGGACCTTAGATTTCTCTCTCTCTTTCTTTTCTCTTTCGGGGTGTCCCTGGATGCTTTCGTCATAGCTGGGAGCCCCTCTTTTCCTGTTTGGTGTGTCCTTGGCACCTCTGTCTCCCTCTCTTCTCTCTCTTCTCCCTCTTCTCTCTTTTCTCTCTCTTCTCTCTCTTCTCTCTCTCTCTCTCTCTCTCTCTCTCTTCTCTCTCTTTTCTCTCTTTTCTCTCTTTTCTCTCTTTTCTCTCTTTTCTCTCTTTTCTCTCTTTTCTTTCTTTTCTCTCTTCTCTCTTCTCTCTCTCTCTCTCTCTCTCTCAGCTTCTCGTAGGCTCCTTTTTTCACCCAACCTCACCCTCGTCCGGAGCTCAATTGAAAAGGAACGCCTCCCCTCGGAAGGCGTGTGTGTGTGTGTACCCCTTGGAATCACAGGGATCCTGTGGGATTGTTCTTGTTTCTTGAGTTTTCTCAGCAGGGGTTGAGAAGGGGCAGGGGGACTGCCTGACGTGTAACAGTGGCAGTCCAACGAAGAGGCTGTTACGAGTCACTGATATGGGTTCTGGACGCAGAATCCACGTACCTGCTTGGTTATGGCATTTGCAAGCTGTTACCCTCATTTTCCATCAAGGGCTGGTGCACTCTGCAGACAAGAGCGGTCGCCGTCAACTCGACCTGTTCGTCGCATCGTGGAGTTGGAACTTTGGCCTTTAACTAAAGGCGCTCAGGCCTCCTTACCTGGTTGTTCAGGAATCTGGTTTCTTAGGTTGCCGTGTGGCGAGCGGCATTCGAGTCAGTACGCAAAATCTTAAGTGTGTGCTGTGGATGAAACGCAGGCCAGCAGCAATGTCTACCACCCAATCGCTCCAGGTGTACTGCGCAGGACCGTTGCCCGCGGCCTGCTGGCATGGAGGCGCTCGCATGAACCACGATTTCAGCTGCATAGGCAAAGCCCGGAAATTGGCATGGGATCTTTGATGAAGTGCGAAAATGCAGCAAGCCCGCACATCCATCCTCAAAAAAGAACTACAGTACCTATATACAACCAAGTTCCACCTTCAAGCAAAAAGCAAGCCTGAGAATTCCAAACCAAAGCCTTCCCGGCCTTCCCTCTCTGATAGCCAGCTTCAAAGCCATTGGCATAGGTCAGACCTGAAACTGCCAAGGCAAGATTACTTCCACAAAGCACCTCTGTACAACGACCTTTCCGAACTGGATGGGATAAGAAGGCTATGGTTTCACAACAACCCCAAAAACAATGGCCAACTTCGCAGTCTTAGGCCCGTGGCAGGTTGCTTGTGAGGCACGCGTCCTCAAGAAATTGATGGGGAAAGCGGTTCCTAACAGCTTCTTTCTCCTACTTAGATGGGCTGGTGGTTACTAACAAGTTAAGATGGTTATGTGCAATAGCTAAGCATTTACTAACCCATTAAACTGGCTAGCTTAAGTGTTTACTAACTGATTAGATGTCGCAAATTTTTGATACTTTTCATCGCACGGACTCAGCTTGGGGGTGGCTATTTTCCAAAAAAAGGTAACATAATTTGGTTTGGTTGATTTTTTAACAAAAAAGTTTTCCTCCACTTTGGTACCTATTGAAAATTTACATGAGTAGGATATGTTTTCCCATAAGACACTAATCCTGTACCAAGGTGTTTGCATTGGCAATCTTAGCTGCTACCGGTTGACAAACCCTTCAGTTGTGAACATATGTGGCTTCCTGTCAAGATGATTGAGCTTCTATGGGCTTGTATGTTGAAGCCTAGATTGATGCCTATAAGCCTAGAATGCCTTTGTGGCATGGGCCTATACTGGCTAAGGCCTATACTGGCTGAGGCCTATACTGGCTGAGGCCTATACAGGCTGAGGCCTATACTGGCTGAGGGCTGATGCAAGGCAAGCTGATGGACACCAGTTTTCCACGTTCACTTAAGTGATGGTAGGGGATCAAAGTGCGGATCCCTGACTTCAAGGAGCTATAGGTCAATGCCTCCAGTATGTCTTCACATGGCACCACCTGTGATTCTCCAGAATCATCAAACTTTGCACACAAGGCCTTCTCATCAAACCATTGCAAAGAATACATAGACACAACTGCAAATGTGCCAGCACTGGTTGAAAAAAATCAGAAGGGCCCTGCCACACTCAAGGGATGCAGCCTTCAGCAAGACCACATCATGCCTTGCAGCTTTGCCACCGCCAGCCAACAGCAGCTCATTGCACATGTAGACTTCTCCTGGGTCACCAGCAACAACTTCTTTAACAAAAGCCAGGACCTTATTGGTCGCTTTGCCCTTGGATTCCAAACCAGGGCCACCAATTTGCCCATGCTGCAACCTGTGAAGCTCTCGCCCCAGCACTTCTGTGTACACACTCTTCTCATAGGAGCTGAGGTTCTGCACCATTGAGCCAGCTGAGGGTGTGCCACATGGAGTTCATGACCATGTTGGCCAAGACATTGCCCTGAGTTGCAAAGTCCTCTGGCCTAAAGGAAGTCGCCTCCACTTGGAGGTCTGAACCTGCAGACTTTGTGAAGGAGCTAGAGGGAGCATCGCTCTGCACTTGTTTCTTCAGTCTTTTGTCAGTGCTCCTGACTGGTGCATCATTCTTCACAATCTTGGCCAGATCAGGGTATTCCCTTTCAACAGGTGCATCATCCCCATAGGAACCCTTCAAGTGCAATGGGTCCAAGTTCATGAGACACAGGGTATGAAAGAAAAGACTTCACATTCTCAGGCTGCTCTGTGGTAGAAGATTGAAATGTTGCCAAGAGGTGCTGGGAAAGGCTGTATGCTGCCTGTGGTGATGGCATGGATTGAGTCCTTTGGCTTTCATACCAGCAAAGGATTGCAGTAGCCTCAACCTGTTGCTGACAACACTTGCTCCTTTCCACATGTCACATGACATGAGCTGCTTATGCTCACCCTCTGTGAAGTAGTTATTTAGGTGCTCACACTGTTGTGGCACCAGTGTCACTTTTCCGCTAGTATGACCAAAATGGCTGTTGCCAGCCTTTCTGTCCAGAATGCTCAGCAAAGACCCTTTCAAGCTTTCTGGTAGTTTGCTATTTTCAACCATTTCATACAATGCCACCAAATCAGCAGGGCCTTGCAAATGCAAGTGTGTCACTTTGTCTAGCAAAGTGTTCTTCACCTGGCCATCCCCCAAGGTAGGCCTGGCTTGCAAAAGCATTTCCATTGCATGGATTTCACTTTGGATGTCTTTGACATTCCAGTGGCATGCAACTCCAGACTGCATGGTCAAATCTGAAGGCCTATCAAGGCTTGTGTTTAAAATGGCTTCCACAGTCAGGAGATCTAATCAAAAAGTTATCTTTTTGGAATACCAACCAATTGTGTACAAATAAATTGCCTATATTGGCTGATGAGGCTGGTGGCTTTGCAAATGGTTTGAAACACTGTACCTCAGTGCATGGTACCCAAAAGAAGCCTTATTTTTTATGTATTTCACTATGCCTTGTGACAAGTAACTTACATAGAACAGTTTAACCAATATTGTTTTGTAAATAGCAAGCCAGTAACTGCATTGAACAACTCAATACATTGAGTATAATGTTTACTTGCACATGGAACCATGTGCATATTGAGTATAATTCTTCCTTCATAAACTTGTGAACAGTTATCATTGTAAGGATTGGTTTTTGTTGCTCACCCCTTGCTTAAATTTGAGTTGGTGTTGTCTTAACACTATAACTTTCTAGCAACTTAAGATCAAATTGTTGTATGTTTGGTTGATTTTAAAAAATAAATATAAAATTAATGTATACAGTATAAATAGTTTAAGCTAGGTAATTAAAACTACATTTTTAAGAAGATTTTAATATATAATATAAAAACCAAATACAAATCATACAGGTTTCAATTTAGAATACTAAAATCAAATCCATACCACCCAAATTTCAATTTAGAATACAAAAATCAAATTCAGACCACCCAGATTTCAATTTAGAATACTAAAATCAAATCCATATCCCCCAAATTTCAATTTAGAATACTAAAATCAAATCCAAACCACCCAGATTTCAATTTAGAAAACTAAAATCAAATCTATATAGAAAACTAAAACCCAATTTATATTGATCCCTATACACATGCCTGTATTGGCTTCATACAAAGGCCTATACTAGCTTATTATTACCTGTATTGGCATCACAAAAGCTCAGAACAATCTGTTTTCCCTTAGAGTTTATGCTTCTTCAATTGAAGTCAAGGGTACACTACTGGTATGGAAAGTACTTCTGGTACACCCTCTGGCCATGCCGCTGGTACTACTCATCAATCTTACCCAATACATCCTGAAGCCCCAGGTGGCTTTATAATCGCTCAAGAGTCCATGCCAAACATTGTGATTCACCAACTGCCTCCATATGGACAAGGGATGCCACTTTGTTCAACCAACCACCAGTGCCTGAAGATGATGGATCTCTATATCGATGCCACCCTGTTGATGGAGTATACCACCAAAATGCACCTGGCTGATTTTTGTCTTGCTCCCACCAAATACCATCCTGGCAAGACATTCATAAAACTATTAATGCACAAGACAAAAATGAGTGTACCCAATAGAAAACACAGCTCATTAAACACAAAAAACAAGGAATACTTTGATATCATAAAAAAAATGTACCAACTGACCATATACAAAGTGTATGCATATTCCCAAAAACTGATTCAAATTCTTTTGCCCAACTCCTATGTCCAACAACCTTGAGATCCAGGCGCACAAGCTTCTGGTGGAGGTCCAAAGGCGCTGAAAGGTGAAGAATGCCTCATTCCTTTGCCAAGGCCTTTCCCAACAGAAGGTCCTCCCAATGGCACAGTTGGCAGCCTTTGAGCTCCCACTCCATACTGAACAGCTGCATAGCCAGCAAAGGATGGTGGCCTTGCTGGCTCTGGTGGTCGCGTGAGGTTGGGCACCCACAAAGTAAGCCAACCCACCAGGTGCTGTTGCTACTCCTTCATGGTTTGGTGGAACAAGAGCTGGGCCAGGTGGCACTTGTGGAGGTGGCACTCTGCCAAAGTGTTGGCCTGCTGGTGCTGCAAGATGCTCTTGTGGGGGTAGCACTGAACCACTAGGCATTTCACAAGCTGTAGTACCAGCCCCTTGTTGAGGTTGCACTCCACCAGGCCCTTGTTGAAGTGGCATTGCAGAAGGATGCTGCATTGGAACTGCAGTAGGCACAGCTCTTTGTGCTGATTGGCTGGCAGCCTAGTAGGCAAACTCACATCTGACTTGCCTAAATTGGCTTTAGTACTTTTGGGCAATGGCCTGTACTGGCTGAACTGCTAGACCTTAATGATACATAGATTTATATACATGTCATGTGTGCCCAAGCCTTTGGCTGAGGCACCTTCTGCTGAGGAGTCACCAGTCCTCTGCCTCTTGGCACTGTCTGGTCTAGCAGCCCCATCAGAAGGATGCCCTTGGTACTGACTGGCTGCTCTGGAAATCAAATCCTGGCAAAGAAAAAACTGAAGAGAGCACACTTTGATATGACAGCTGCCTTTGTGGAGCCAAAAACAATGAAGTCTACATAGGCAAAGAACCCCAAACCCTGGCCTGTAAGCGGCCTCTCAATTCTTCTTCTATTTCAGAAGCCCATTGCTCAGCTTCCTCCTGTGTCACCGACATTGTGGCAGGCTTGGCTATGCATACAACACCAGCAAGAGCCAGTGCTGCAAGAAACAAAGTGCTTGGAGAACACAGCAAGGAATGCCTATACTGGCTTTGCTATTTGTTAACCTTGCCTAAATGCCTATATAGGCTCTTCTGGGTTTCAAGGCCTATATTGGCAACACTTCTTAAAGCTGCCTGTATTGGCAATGCCCTATGTTTTTTATGTGGGAAAGTTCTTTTTACAGAGCACACTTATCTCTGTCTGTGTTGCCTGTCCTGCTCTAAAGCATCAAGTTCCTCTTGTAGGAAAGCTACCCTGGGATTCACCCATATATCTAGTTGGACCCTCATGCTGACCACATAGTCTTTGATGATCTCCAGCAAGTGCACCATCTTGTAAAGCACCTGCAGACAGGCCACCAGCAGAAGGCTCACTGTCAGGTAGAAGACAGCTTCCATCAAGGCCACCATCATAGCCAGCTACCCTTCTTTGCTTGAAGCCAACTGCAAAACACGCACACACACCATATGTGAGATGCTGGCACTATACAAATGGCCTATGTTGGCTGTGTTGATGGGTACAAAATGGCCTGTAATGGCTGCAATGTTGCATGCCTATAGTG